ACATCCATCCACCGTTATAAAGAGGGGCAAAAGCGTCTTTTATCTCAAATTGAGGAACCAAAATGGGTATTAACTATTATTATCTAATAGTCGAGGGACCAAAATGGGTATTAACTTTAATAATAATAATAATAATAATAATAATAATAATAATAATAATAATATTATTATTATTATTATTATTATTATTATTATTATTATTATTATTATTATTATTATTATTATTATTATTATTATTATTATTATTATTATTATTATTTGATATTGGGACAATGTCTCCCGCCACCATATAATTGTTTTTTTTTTTGGTGAAGAGAAAAATTCGCAATCATTAGTTTATATATGTGCACAAAAATCGAGAAAATGCTGACAAAAATCGAACTCTATAATCATCTTCAAATAATGCTCCACTCACTTGACCACTCTTTAGTCCTTTCGGAACATAATGATATCTTTTGATGATTTGAATTGCAGTAAAATTATTGTGATCTTGGACGAACTTGGATTGTTTGAAAGAAATTTTGTGAAGTACGTAACATCCACAAGCTTGTCTTGATTAAGGGTGTGCAAACTTTGATAAATGTTTGGTTAACCGAGCGAACCAACAAAGTTCGATTAACTATTTTTGACCAAACATTTTCGGCTCAGTTAATGGTTAAAGATTTTTTAAATTTATTGTTAACGGTTAATTCGGTACGAAATTGTCATTTAACCGAAATTTTAAATATATATATATATATATATATATATATATATATAATATGTAAAATATGTAAAATACCTATAAATTTGTAATATATAAGTTCGTAGAACTAGTTATGAACTAAAACAACACAATGTTCAAAATTTTGAAAGAGTTGTCTTTTAAAAAAAAATATTCTCTCTCTAGCTTCTAATGACTAGTTTTCCCTCTTGCCCACTGTAGCAACTAGGGCTGGGCAAATCGGTTCGGGTTACCCGAACTGAACCGAACCGGTTCGGTTCGGTTTCTACCTGAAAACCCGTTCGGTAGTAATTTAGGTGAAACCGATCGGTTCAGTTTTTAACCGAACCGAACCGATAACCGATCGGTTTTTTAAATAAAAAAAAAATTATATATTATATATATATAATAATAATAATTAATAAACTAAAATACTAATTTTCTAAAAATCTAATACTTCTTCAGTTCTTCGATACTCACAAATTAGAACTAACCCTAATTCCTCGTCGACATTCGCCTCACCCCTCGCACTCTCGCCCTCCGCCACCGCGCCACGCCTCCGCCAGACCGCCACCGCGCCATGCCTCCGCCACCGCGCCACGGGTCTGCCATAGACTCGTCACTCAGAGTCTCAAACCATAGTTGAAGAGTGAAGCCTGAAGAACACCCGACCAAGGTAATGTTTGGCTTTTCTATGTTATATTTTTTAATTTTATAATTTATACTTTATACTTTATAGTTTATACATTATATATTTTTCTCGATTTCTTATTTCAATTTGAATAGTCTTGAATTTTGAATTAGGGCTTTTATTTAGACTTAGTGTTCTAGAATTTCAAGTTCATTGTGTTAAGTTGTAATGTTGTATATCAATTTCATTAGGTTTAGTACACTTTATTTCAATTTTATTTAGACTTAATCCCATCCCATTTAAATTCCAGTTCTAAAATAGGTACGAAAATCATGGTATTCCAGTGAACTGGAATTTAAATTCCAGTTCACTGGAATACTATTCCAGTGAACTGGAATGGGATTATTCCAGTTCGAACTGAAAGTGTTATATATATCAGTGTTGCAAAAATCGCGCCTAGGTGCCGATTAATCGGCGCCTAGGCGCTAGGCGGTCGGCCACCTAGGTGCCCTAGGCGCCCGCCTAGGCACTCTAGGCGCCGATTAATCACTCTAGGCGCCCGCCTAGGCGCTCTAGGCGCCCTAGGCGGTCCCCAGGCGCCTAGAGGGCGCCTAGCGATTTTTTCAACATTGATATATATACATTTCAAAGTTTATTAGGACTCCAATCACTTATAGTCCCGTTTACATTTCAGATGGATGATTCTTTATCTTCGCATCAAAGAAACATTTCAAGTGACACTCCAAGTAGCACTCCAACTGAGCCAATTGAAGAATCGGTGGGACAAAAAAGAAAACGTACAATCAATGGACTTCCACCGAAACCAAGTGCTCCAAGGTCCGAGGTATGGAATCACTTTACTAAATTGGAGGACGACAAGGATAAATGTAAATGTAATTACTGCTTTAAAGAATTTAAGTGTCCAACAAAGAGTGGCACTAGTAGTTTGAGAACACATAATCAAAAATGTGCTGCATTTAAGGATCATCTTGATAGTGCAACCCAAAAAAAATTTAACAATACATGAAAGTGCAAGTGTTGTTAAAGGTGGTAGTAGTCAGCTTGTGGCGGTTGGATTTAATCAAGAGGCTTGTAGGAGGGCAACTGTTAAGATGATTATTTTAGATGAATTGTCATTTTGTTTTGTGAATGGGGATGGGTTTAAACAATTCTGTAGTGTTGCTTGTCCAAAGTTTATTATCCCTTCACGAAGAACAATCACAAGAGACGTAGTTGAATTGTTCATGAAAGAAAAAGCTTTATTGAAGAGTGTGATTAGTGAGTCAAGGATTTCTTTAACTACTGATATATGGACTGCAAGTACTACTACTGTCAGTTATATGGTTATCACTGCTCATTATGTTGATGTGAACTGGCAGTTGCACAGAAAAATTATCAGTTTTAAACCAATTTCTGATCATAAAGGTGAAACAATTGCAAAAGAACTTGAGAATTGTTTGATTGATTGGGGTATTACCAAAGTTTTTACTATCACAGTTGATAATGCATCTGCTAATGATAGTGCACTTAGGATTTTCAAAACTAAAGTGAGGTGTTGGAGAGAGGATCCTTTGATACTGGGTGGAGAGTTTTTGCATGTGCGTTGTTGTGCACATATTTTAAATTTGATTGTGAAGGATGGTTTGGCAGCGGTGGGTAATAGTGTGGTTAGTGTTCGTAATGCAGTGAAGTATGTGAGATCATCCAATTCTAGATTTCAAGCATTTCAAATTCGTGCAGAGCAAGATAACCTAAGTAGAGGGAGTTTGATTTTGGATTGCAATACTAGATGTAATTCTACTTACCTCATGTTGACTGCAGCTTTCAAGTATAAGGCAGCATTTGATCGAATGGCTAATGAAGACAAGTTGTATGATGCTTACTTTAAAGAGGATGAAAATGGAAAGAGAAGGGTTGGGCCGCCATCATCAATTGATTGGGAGAATGTTCGGCGATTGGTACAATTTTTAAAAATCTTTTATGATGCCACTTTGTCTTTTTCTTCATACAAAACTGTGACATCTAGTCATTGTTTTGATGATATATGCACAATTGAAGTTAATTTGAATGTTTTCAGTACTAGTAAAGATGTGAATATGAGTGGCATGGCTTTGGAAATGAAGAAAAAGTTTGATAAGTATTGGGAGGGGTCTGAGATAAATAAATTGTTGATTGTTAGTAGTGTGTTGGATTCGAGGAGCAAGATGAGTTTTGTGACAATTTGTTTTGAAAAATTGTATGGCAAAGATACACCAAAGTGTAGTGAAATGAAAGAAGCAGTAGTGGATGTCATGCGTAAGTTGTATGAGGTATACAGTGCATTTTATGCTAAACCAAGTGCAACTACAAGTCAAAGTGGTGGTGGAAGTGAAAGTGGATGTGTGAGTGTAATTCAATCTTGTGTGACTAGTGAATTGGTTTTAAATGTTGGTGATGTTGGTGATGTTGCACCTGTTGGGTGTATTTTTAACACGTATACCACCAATTTGGTATGTGAAAAAGGAGATGTGCAACAAACATCAAATGAGTTGGATATATACTTGATGGAAAAGATTGAAATGCCAGCTCATAATAGATTGGGTATGCAATTTGATATTTTGTCATGGTGGAGGAAAGAAAGTATGAAATTCCCAATCTTGTCACAAATGGCACGTGATGTTCTTGCAATTCCAGTTTCTAGTGTTGCATCAGAGTCTGCCTTTAGCACTTCAGGCCGTATTTTAGACCAATATCGGAGTTCTTTGACACCGTATATGGTAGAGGCATTGATTTTGACACAAGATTGGTTGCGGTCTTCACTCCAATCTGATGCAACAGTATGCTTGCAGAAGGTAATTGACAATTCTATATTTTATTATGAATTTATGTATAATATATACTATATTATTTTATGCTTCAATATTTTATAATTTTAACTTCTTTTTGAACCTTTTGTTTTGTTGTACAGAGATTCGCAAATCAGCAGGGCAACTTCATATTGATCCGTGATGATGGATGAACAATTTATCAACATATGAGTTTGGAATTTGTATTACTATGTTGATTGTGTTTGATTAGACTTTGGATTTGGGTTATTTGATGTTTTATGTTTGTAATCTTTAAACATTGGATTTGAAGTTTGAACTATGTTATGTTTCATGTTTGTAATGTTTGAAGCCTTTGAACTTTGAACTTTGAACTTTGGATTCTAAGTATGTGTTGTTTTGGTAATTAGATTGCTATTAGTATGTTTAAACTTTGAATTGTTATTTTGTTATATAACGTTTAGATTTTAGATGTGGATTTTGTGAATAGTATTGTTTGGTAGTATGTTTTGAAAATTAGGAAATGTTAAAATTTGGGGATTATAAAGTCTTAAATCCGAACCGATTGAAACCAAACCGAAGTCGAACCGAACTATAATATTAAACCGAATGGTTTGACTTTTCTAAAACCGAAAAACCGAAACCGAAATCGAAGAAAACCGAAATGCCCACCCCTAGTAGCAAGTATCCCCTTTGCATTGTAATCTTTTTCTCCGGCTTTCTTCACCTTGTCATGATGCCACACACACAAAACAGCCACCCCCCATCCTCATCTACATCTTCTGAACACCCCCCCCCCCCCCGCCCCCCCCCCCCCAACAACCCCAAACACCTTCCTCTGTTCCACCACCACCGAGTGAAACTTCAGACCTCAATGACATTGATATTGGGGGTCTTGACCTGGGTTTTGACGACGACTCCGAAGACTTCCGATTCACTCTTGTTGGTCGCATAATCACTGAGAAAATTATCAAATTTCCGTTTATGCGTGATACTATGGCAACTTTTTGGCGTCCAATCAGAGGTGTAGCTGCCAAAGAGCTATCAAATAACACTTTCCTCTTCCAATTTTTCCACGAAATCGACATGAATCGTGTTCTTGAGAATGAGCCTTGGTCCTTCGAGCAAAATCTACTGGTCCTTGCAAGAGTTCAGCCGGAAATTCCACCATCCTCCATGCCTCTCGACACTGCGGAGTTCTGGGTCCAACTTCACGATCTGCCACTTGGTTTCTTCTCGGAAAGATCAGCAAAGGCCATTAGAAATTTCATTGGGGAATTCATACGTATTGATGAAAAGGCCTTTAATGGCTCCAGGAATTCTTTCATTCGAATCCGGGTTCGCATAAACATCACAAAGCCTTTAATCAGTCAAATACCCATCAGGAAGAACGGTGGGGACTGGAGCTGTATCAACTTCCGCTATGAGAGATTACCAAATTTTTGTTTTATCTGTGGACTCATTGGGCATACGGAGAATTACTGCTCAAAACCTGTTGAAGATTCTAATCCATCAATGGAGAAACTGTTCGGTGCCTGGTTGTGATGGCATGTTCTGTGTTAGAAATGAAGGACACAGCGATGGCTTAGCCCTCTTTTGGAAGGAAAGCACATCAGTTTCCATTCTATCCTACTCTAAACATCATATAGACGTGGCAGTCTGTCTCAATGTGGATGAAGTCGAGTGGCGCTTTACTAGATTCTACGGCTCTTCAGACTAGACACCAACGGCCAGTGGGCAGAATGGAAACTGGTTTTCGCGAGTGGCGCTTTACTGGATTTGGCCGACATAAATCCTCTCCCTTGGGCAGTTATGGGTGATTTTAATGACATTCTACACTCGGATGAAAAACGTGGAGGAAATCCTCAACCTATGAGACTTATTTCTGGTTTTCGTGAGGCAGTGGAATCAAGTGGGCTTAGACTTTGGGTTCAGTGGCTATCAATATACTTGGGAGCGTTCAAAAGGTACTCATCTATGGGTGGAAGCCAAGTTAGATAGAGTTCTTACTTCAGACTCCTGGAGTGATCTTTTCCCTATGGCGAAAGCAGAATCCATTACAACGGCAAAGAGTGATCACATGCCTCTGCTCCTCCAGAGTTTGCCACGAGCGCCTCCTATTCACAACACAGGCTTCCGGTTTGAAAATCTCTGGCTTCGGGAAGCTCATTGCAGAAACATAATGATCGAGAGTTGGTCAAATACTCATGGACATAGTCTTATGGATAGGGTGGGGATCTGTGGTACAGCCATATGGATTTGGGGTAAACACTTTGCACGCAATTTCCAGCGATGTCTAGATCATTGGCGCAAACGCATGGAAGCAACAAAATACAGACGAGACCCTTATGGTATTACATTGTTTAAGGAAGCACAATCTGAGTACCTTCGTGTCCTACAACATCAAAGTGACTATTGGAGGCAAAGAGCCAAGCAATTCTGGCTCAAAGATGGTGACACAAACTCTAGTTTTTTTCACAAGACTGTCAAGCGAAGACAACAAGCTAACTGACTCACTAAGCTTAAGGACAGCAACAGAACATGGATTAACCAAGGTACCCAACTGGATGCTTTAATCACCTCATATTTTCATGATTTATTCTGCCCTGCTCTTGGTGATATTGATTCTGTGATTGATTGCATTGATCCTATCATCTCCAATCTGCATAATACATCTTTGTGTGATAGAGTTTCTATTAATGAAGTCAAGATTGCCTTATTTGATATGAAACCCGAAAAATCCCCTGGTCCTGATGGATTAAACCCAGGCTTCTACCAATTCTTCTGGGATATCTTAAGCACCGAATTACATGCTTTATGTTTTGAATTTTTTTGCATGGGTAAGCTTCCAGAGAATATCAATTCAACTCACATTGTGCTTATACCCAAAAAAAAAAAAAAAAAAAAAAGCAAACCCGAGACTATGGGAGACCTTAGGCCTATAGCCCTTTGCAACACTCTATATAAACTCCTCTCCAAGATTCTAACCAACTGCCTAAAGCCCCTGCTATCCACAGTGGTGTCCGATTCTCAATCGGCTTTTGTCCCAGGTAGACTAATCTCTGACAATATAATGATTGCTTATGAAGTCAACCATTATCTCAAAAGGAAAAATCAGGGCGAAGTGGGTTATGTTGGGGTCAAATTGGATATGAGTAAAGCCTTTAACAGGGTTAGTTGGGAGTTTCTTTTGAGGGTCATATCTAAATTGGGCTTCTCTAATCACATTGTTAGTCTTATACGAGAAATGATATATACAGTAAATTACACAATACTTCTTGAGGGTAGAGTTATTGGATCTGTTGTGCCTGGTAGGGGATTAAGGCAAGGGGACCCCATGTCACCCTATCTTTTCATCCTTGTTCTCGAGGTTTTTCACTTGATTAGGGGTGTGCAAACTTTGGATAATTTTCGGTTAACCGACCGAACCGACAAAGTTCGGTTAACCGTTTTCGAACCGAACTTTTTCGGTTCGGTTAATGGTCAGAGGAATTTTAAAATTTCGGTTAACGGTTAATTCGGTTCAAAAGGTCGGTTAACCGAAGTTTTTAATATATATATAAAAATAATAATATAAATATAAATACTAATTTAAAATTATGGATGTTTGGAGTTTATAATTCATGTTATTTATATTTTGTTATGAATGTATTATGATATGTATTTTATTTTAATTGAATTTATTATTTTAAGTGTTATTTTTAGAATTTTAAATTTTAGCTTTAAAAAGTTCGGTTAATCGGTTAACCGAAAAAAATTTCGGTTCGGTGAATTCGGTAGAGCAAACTTCGGTTCGGTTAACGGTTAAAGGAAAAAAAACTTCGGTTAATTCGGTTCGGTTAACCGATTGAACACCCCTACACTTGATGCTCCAAAAGTCTCAAAGAGCAGGAACCCTCCATGGTGTCAGTATTGCTAGAAATGCCCCAATAATCACTAACCTCTTCTTTGCCGATGATTGCTATATCTTCTGTAAAGCCACACCTTCTGAGGCCATCACTCTTAAGAACATCATTGACTATTTTGCTGCTGTTTCTGGCCAAACTGTAAATTACACCAAATCCACCCTTACCTTTAGTAAGAATACCACTGCCCACTCAAGAGATAGTTTTTCAAATATTATGAACATGAGAGAGGGTAATCTGAACGGGAATTATCTTGGTTTACCAACCCTTATTGGGAGGAACAAATGCGAAATTCTTGGCTATATCAAAGACAAAGTTGTGGGGAGAATCAAAAGCTGGACTCATAGATTCCTTTCCAGAGCTAGGAGGGAAATACTCCTTAAGAATGTCATACAAGCCATCCCAACATTTGCCATGAGTGTTTTTCTACTACCTATTGAGTTAGGTAAGGACATTGAAAGAACAGTGAAAGATCCAGTGGAATCAGATGGAAAAGCTGGGATAGATTATGTGTCCCTAAAAGATGGGGAGGTATGGGCTTCAGGAAGATCAGGGAATTTAATATAGCAATGCTCGGGAAATAATCTTGGCGACTCACCACTCAACCTAATTCCCTGCTTGCTCGTACTTACAAAGCTAAATATTAAAAAAAAAACAGTACTTTTCTTGAGGTACATCTTGGCAGTAATCCCTCTTTCATATGGCGGAGCATCCTTGAAGCACAAACTATTCTTAAACGAAGATGTAGATGGAGAGTGGGGGATTGAAATTCAATTAAAGTTTGGTCTGATCCATGGCTTCCAATCACAAACTGCCCCTATGTTCAATCTGTAAATACATCTCATTCAAATGACATGACAATTGCATCTCTCTTGGATCCTAATGTGCCTGCTTGGAATGTTAGTCTCATTAACTCTTTATTTAACCAAAATGATAGCACTCTGATTAAGAGCATCCCCCTCCCGGATCATGTAACGGCAGATAAAATTATTTGGATGGAGGACGATAAAGGACACTACACTGCGAAAAGTTGCTACAAAGCACTCATGAGAAATGCTCACATACTTGAAACTCCTATCTGGTCAGGTTTCTGGAATCTCAAAGTACCTCCTAGAATCAAAAAAAATTTCTGGCAGTTGTGTACGTCCTCCTTCCCTACGCATGATCGTCTGAAATCAAGGCATGTTCAGGTTCCGGACGTATGTCAAATCTGCCATACTGAGGAGGAAACCCCTTTCCATCTCTTTGTGCAATGTCCTTTGGCTCGGGAATGTTGGGATATTCTCGGTGGTGTAGACTATCAGTCCATAAGCTCATTTTCTGAATGGCTTGAGTATTTGTTCTCTACGAAATCTGCCAACGATATCTGCATTCTTATCTCTATTTGTTGGAAATTTTGGGATGCAAGGAATGAAAACATCTGGAATCAATCTGTTTTATCAGCTTCATTTATTTGCCATTATGCAAAAACACTACTGCCAGGCCATCTATTATTACTACTACCTGGACCAAACCTCCATTTGGAATGTTCAAGCTCAATGTTGATGCAACACTTGATCAACACAATAATAGGATGGGGTTCGACTTTGTTCTACGCGATTCGGCTGGTTGTTTTGTTGCTGCTAGGAGTCTACCTTGGGCTGCCTTTTCAAACCATCTGAGGCGGAAGCAATTGGTATACGTGAGACGCTGAAATGGATTAAAGATCAAAGCTTGACAACCTGCAAGTTGAGAGTGACTGCCTCCAGGCAGTGAATGGAATCTTGAATGGGCATGACTCTTTTTCTTCTTTTGATCTCATTTTGGAAGACATTAGATCCATAACTTCTAGTTTTGTTAACTTGAGCTTTCTTTTTGCAAAACGGTCTGCGAACAGGGTTGCCCATTGTTTAGCTAAGGAAGCCTTGTCATTGTCTGACTGTAAGGACTGTTTTACTGTCCCTTGTTCATCCATTGCCCATGTCTTGAGCTTGGACCTTAATTAATATATCTCTCTGTTTTTGTTTTCAGAAAAAAAAAAAAAAAAAAAAAAAAAAAAACACAATGATCAAACAAAAAGAAACCTTCAAATTTGTTGTTTTTTCAAATAGATGGGCAAAAGGTGAGGAAACTCGATCTATGAATTTCCAAGAGTATTTTCATTATCTGCAATTATAACATGTAAATATATTAGGACAAAAAAGTATATATATATATATATATATATATATATATATATATATATATATATATATGGTAGGGTTCCAGTGAGAACAGAACATGAGAACACATCGTGTGCATCCATTTAATATTTTTTAATGGTCTAGATTAGATTAAGTGTGTGCGAACGCGCATTAAATGTGTGCAAACACATTTACGCGCATTAAATGTGTGCAAACACATTTAATCGCGTTTGCACACATTCGCACACATTTAATGCGCATTCGCACACACTTAATCTAATCTAGACCATTAAAAATTATAAGATGGATGCACACGATTTGTTCTCACGTTCTCACCTAAGCAGGTGTTCTCATATGATCTTAAATCTATATATATATATATATATATATATATATATATATATATATATATATATATATATATCCAAATGCAACATTATTGATACAACAAATTAAACTATAATCCAAATAAAATGTGCTAGCCGGCCACTGAGCAAGCTATACAAATTATATATATGCCATATATATATAATAAGAAGCTAATTGAGGGGAGCAATCACAAGGCCAGAGAAGTACTAGAATGGGAAATATTAAACAAACTGCCATAGAAATCTGATGAAAGATTAGATCGATATTGTGTGAAATTAATACTTTTTAATTAACTTACTTTGAATTGTGCAGCCGCGGATTAGTGGTGGCACTGGTGTTGGCCACCACTGATGAGTAATTGAATTAATAATTCCATTACCAATGAACCACCCAGAAGAATTGGTCCAATAAAAATAACTCCCATCTATGTGGTTAAATCCTGTGTCTTTAATTTTAGGATCAAGATTAGGATGCAGAAGGTCTAGGTTGGAGAGAAACATATCTCCTCTAAAATAAACCTTGCGCACCAAACTCCACTTCCCCATGTCGTAGTTCTCCAGCTCCCATATATAATATATGGGGATTTCTGAGTGAAGAGCCGAAGTGCATGTTAAACGAAGACGATCCTCAAATACTCCAAGGGTTTGGGCGCAACACCCCTCAGCTTCCATATCAGTTGGCATATAAATTGCACGGGAAATTTTTTCAGGAGAATTATAGGGATCATACACAAGAATATACGCACTAAGCAACATATGTAGCATCCCTTTATAGGGGACAAGAAAGACAGAAGAACGGAGAAGAAACAGTGATTTGATGGGCCATGGTGATGAGATCACAAGAGTTTTCCATTCCTGAGACGAGAAGAGTTGGAGTCTGTATTTGCCCCTGGAAACGGGTGGGGAAACACAAATTTGAACCACCACACAATTATAGCGAGAATTGTCTACACATTGCGATTGCTGAGGGGTGGTGCAAAGGGAACAGGGCGCAGGAACGCAAAGTAAGCCAAAGGACATTGCTCTGGGCATCTTCCTCTCACTGAGTTTGAATTGGGGGGGAGGAGGAAGAGCAGTCCAGTGCTTGGTTACTAGATTACAGACATAGAATAGGGATAGGAATTTGGGGAAGGTGGTGAGGACGCATATGGGGGCGCATAGAATTAAATCAGCACACGAAACCTTCAAATAAATTCTGAGTTGGGGATCGGGACAGGGAAGGAAACTTAAATCCAGCTTGCGGAAGCCGCACAAATTGGCATCAGGGTGGGGGTATCCACCGCAAACGATCGGGGAAAAGGGGTCAATCTGAGATTGGAATATAATGCAGGCAGACGATGAATGAAGAATTGGCGGAAGGGATGGGTCATGGCGGCGGTGATTGAATAAAGTAATAAAATACTGAGAAGAAATAAGAGAACACCATGTCTTGCATACCAATTTCAACCGGATTGCTGTTCTGCAGGGGAGCCTGGCCAGGATTTCAACTACCAAGTTCTCGCCCAGATTACTGAACAACAACTCAGAGGATACATCTGAGAATTCCATCAACCTGGCGTCCTTAAGGCGATCGATAGCTTCGTTCTGTTCTGTTCTGTTCGGTGATGCCAATTCTCCCAAACCCTAGTTCGCACTTTATAGGTAGAGTTTATTACCGAAAGAGTTAATTACCGAAATGGTCCCTTGACTATAGCGAAATTATCAATTTGGTCCTCGACAATTTTTTTACCTAATTAAATTCTCGACTTTAAAAATTTTAACCATTTTAACAGTCCGTTAAATTAGAGGTTATTCATGGAGTTTCACTCCCTTACGGGTAGCCTGGACTCCATTAATTAATGGTAAAATATACCGCTGCCATCCATTAATGGCAAAACATACAGATCGCCTTCCTTCGCTTCACAAGCACAACTTCTGTCGCTAGGCCATACTCCATCGCCGTTCCCTCAAATCTTAAACCCCTCATGCTAAAACAGTGCATTTGGCATCAATTTGCTCTGGAGCTGGAGCAGCTATGGCTATGGTGAAGCAGAGACGACTGTGATTTCTCTTCACCCGTAACATAGGAAGACACATTCCTCGTATTGGAGCAGTCGGATGGAGGCGTGGCCGAGGATGGTGCCGGAGATGTCGACGATGTTCGGATCGAGGGTGTACGAACGGTACAGATAAGATCTGACGCTGCTGAAGGCTGCGTCGATGAACGACGATGTGTTCGCCAGCCTGGTGAAGGAGTCCACGGCTGCGTTGCAATCCCTTCACCGCCTGGGAAGTCAAGACTCGCCTAATCCAAGCTTTGGTCTCTAAAGAGGCCGCCGCTAAATAGACTCAAACCTTCGCCGCTAAACAGACTCAAAGCTACCAATTTCCATTGGATTTAGAATTAAACTACTAAATGCCTCCATTTCTTCTGGTGTCACCTGCAGGGGCAAAAGTAGTTGGTACAAGCCTAGTCTTGAGTGTGGGGTGTTGGTGAGAAGATGAAGATAGGGGCATACCTCATCATTATTATGCTTCACATTATATTTCCGTTTTCTTTCATCCTCTACTTGTTCAAAATAACATACACCACCGTACCTGAGAGAACCTAATTAGCTTGCTTGATGCGAAAAGGTCATTGAGAAATCATATTGTGCAGGGAGTGTGGTTGTGATTTGGGAAATGTGAAACTACAGACATGCTAACAAAGTGTAAAACGAAAGGAGAATGAGCAATTTTGTGTGATGCATTTGTGTATCTCAGGGAGAAGGACAAGCATTATAGGAGTGAAATTCCATGAATAACCTCTAATTTAACAGGCTGTTAACACCTTACCTAACGGAGGACCAAAATGATTAACATTTTCAAAGTCGAGGACTAAATTGGATAAAAAAAATTGTCGAGGATCAAATTGGTACTTTCGCTATAGTTAAGGGACAATTTCAGTAATTAACTCTTACCGAAATCATTGCTTCACTATTACGAAATTACCAACAATTTTTCTTGCCCAATTAAGTCTTCAATTTTGAAAATATTAATCATTTTGGTCCTATGTTAAAAGTTCATCCATAAGCAAATTTAAGGACAACAAAATAGTTTCATATATTTTACTAGTATTTTTTACGCGTTTTGCGCAAATGGAATAATACTCAATGATTATTTTTAAATATAAATATTTCAAAGTACTAGTATTTCACTCGTGTGATGCACGGACTAAAATTATAAATATTGTTGTTATATTATTAAAAATTCTTAGTCTTTTTCAATTTTAAGTATGAATATGCTATGTAAATATTATTCATTTGAAAAGATTTTATATGTTAAGTACTTTTATTTTCTAATTAAGTTGAGAACATGCATGTCTCAACAGATTTGGGAATCTAACCATGATGTGTGGTCTATTTTTCCTTAATTTCCAGATTATGAAGTGAAATTATTTGGTACCGGCGGCAAATCTGTTATTTTTATGGACCAATTGTGTACATTTGTGATCGCTGACAAAGATAAGTACCTTTTAAACATCTTACCCTATTTTTTGTTTATTATACAATAATTTTCTGTCATATTTAGGGTTTATAATATTTCAGATGCTCTAATCTCAGTTGTACAACTCGAGTCTATTAATACTGGAAATTATATGTTGGGTAATATGGTTGAAAAATCCCAAAAATAATAATCCTACGAAAAGATTAATATTATATGGGAAAACAGAAAAATTGGGAAGGAAAAGGTGGAGTGTTTGGATATAGGTTTAGCACGAGTTTGAACACAAAGTTCTTTTCCTTAAAACCTTATTTGCTACCCCCCACAAGTGTTAGGAGCGTTGTAGCCTAGGTTTCCCAGGATAAAACGTGCTACGATTCCTTGTTTAAGCACCTAAACAAGGAACCCGGCAAACAAAGCAAAGCAGTGAACACAAGTTGGTAAAGAAGAGAGTAGAAGCAGAGTTTTGAGAAGCTGAAAGCTACTGGAATTCCTTTCGTTTTCTGTACTGTGTAAAAAGCTTCTGCACTACCTCTCTTTATATAGGATTAAACTCAGAATTTAAAATTGAAATTAAAACAGCCTTTCGTTTTCTGTACTGTGTAAAAAGCTTCTGCACTACCTCTCTTTATATAGGATTAAACTTTCGTTTTCTGTACTGTGTAAAAAGCTTCTGCACTACCTCTCTTTATATAGGATTAAACTCAGAATTTAAATTTAAAATTGGAATTAAAACAGTATTAATTTCGTAACAGATGAGTTCAATCTGCACTACCTCCTTTATGCTATACAATTCTATAATGCTCAAAAGAGCTCATGTATATAAGGGGGGTAAATCCTGTTTCCAAACCAATGTGGGACAAAGTCCACTATTTTCCCTTCATTTCCCAACTCAAATGGGTATACTTTGAGAATCAATATCTCATTCACCCATTATCCATTTTGAGCGTACAATATATCAATCTCTTCGTCTTACTACGAAGAATCCGAATCCACTTTGACCCGGCCCAAATCGAAAGTGGACCCCACGGATAATTGTACCACAAAATAGCCACTTAATATGCCATTTTATGCCATTTTAAGCTAATTTTCCAACATTATATTTACCTAGGATTTTCTGCATTTAATGCTTAAATCTACGATGATTGTTTGAGCTTTAGAAAAAATAATGTGTGCTGCCATAATTATACTCAAATGTGCCTATAATGCTATGTGGATATTAAAAAGTCATTTTGGCATACTGTTCCACTAACATGTTTTTAAGATTTAGGCAGATAATGATCAAAATAGTTGGATGTCTTCTTTTTTTTTTATAATCTGAGTATGTTCTTCATGTAACCTTATCAGCAGCTCTAAATGTTAATTTCTCAAACCTTGTTCCCCATGGGAGTGGAGTAATTTAATGCACAATATACATGTTTTTAAAATATAGAATAGACAGATGATGACCAAAATAGTCCGATGCCTTCTTTTTTTTTGAAATCTGAGTATGAAAGATAACATAATCTAGAAGTTAAGTGACTTATTTTTAGCCTATTCTTTCTGTGGCTTATATGCATTTCTAAGTGTTCATTTTTTTTTTAATTAATCCAAACATTTGTTAAGGGGAAATAAATGACTGCTTTTTTCGAAGAGACTTTTAAAGCCTGTAGTTTGTGGAGTAAAAAAGTATTGTTTGTATTTATTTATATTATGAGCACACAAAAAAAAAACATTTTTGGAATAAAGAAGTTTTCAAAATACATTAGCTAACAACATTACATGTATTAAAAGGGAAAATGACGTTCTCTGGTTAACTGCATTTTGTTCCTGCACCTTGGTTCCTGAATACCATTAATTGTCACTATTCTGTATTGAAAGATAAGAATAGTCTTCAACCTGTTCACTGGTACATGTTACCCTGCTAGGTAGCTTGTTTCCTGCAAAAAAAAAAAAAAAATACAATAATTTCCAACTCTATCTACTACATAAGTTGGTGAAGAATAATTTCCAACTGTATCTTCATAGCATGAGCATGAACAAAATGAATAAGCCTATAAGGCCTCTAAATGCTCCCTTGAAATATGAGCATGAACCAAATTTCCCTGCAATATTAAAAAGGAAAGAGAAAAGGGTCAAATAGACCCCTAAACATTACCCTAAAGGTCAATTAGTCTCCTAAACTTTAAAAAAGGTCAATTAAACACTCAAACATGCTAAATTTGGTCAATGAAGCCCAAAAATCGGTAAATGACCTGTTTTTACCGGTCATTTTAATTCCGGCGATGAAATTCGGCCACCGGTGACGGATTCCGGTGACCGGCGAATTTTTCCGGCCGTCCGGTCGTCTTCCACCGGAGAAGACGACCGGACGGCCGCCTTCTCCATTGGAGAAGGCGGCAGGCAGCCGTCTGCCGCCTTCTCCAGTGGAGAAGACGACCAGATCTGGTCGTCTTCTCCATTGGAGAAGATGACCAGATCCAAGTGTTAAAGAGTTACTGTCTCAAGCCTACTCCAAATCCAAGTGTTAAAGAGTTAATAGTTTTCATATATGTGACTACGTAGAAGATTGCCACAACAAATACCCTTTAAGACTCAAACTATAGACACCACTATTGCTATTGTTATGGAATGACAAAATTATTCATACATTACTGGAATCATATTATGCATATCTTAAACTGCATATGATGGAAGTGACAGTGCAATTATAATAAACCTTCCAACATGGGTAGCTCAACTGGTCATAGAGGTGAAACTTTGGAAGAATGACCAGCGATCGAGTCTCACCAGCGGCAGTGTGGGAGCAACCTCTCAAAGTGAGGAGGGCTCCTTGTGCGCAGTGAGCACCGGTCTAGCCTCTGTGATTAATGTTCAGTTGAGTCACCATGATTTACAACCTCTCACCGCTCTGTCGGGCTGGGGTGTGGGGAGCCCTTAGGGTTGGGGGTCAGCCTTTTGGAAGAATAATAAAAACCTTCCACCAAATATGACCAATTTACTAACCATACAAGGATGAGACCACTTAAACATCAGAAGGTAACTTGTCCAACAGAAAGGAAAAAAAGTGCATTCCTCTTTCGATACTTTGACTGCCTGATGGAAGAGCCAACCATGGAGAAACGCACACAGAGAGGGTCGGCAACGGAGAGGAACTGTGGAATTTGAGGCGGACTCGGCGCGAAGCAAGTCGGTGGTGAAGCATCACGCTGCTGCACACGCAAATTCAATTCCATATAAAATCTCGGGACTCTATTTGCTAATTAATTAAGAGTATGTAAAATTACAACACAGCCCCTAAACATAATAAACACCAACAGCAAACACTAAAAGAACACCTCAAATCAAAACTGTTAAAATAAAAAAAGGAATGATGAGAATTGAATCTCACAATCTCACCTAATTAGGTGATCTCACCGGATCCAGATCGATCTATTATGAATTTCCAGAAGGTCTAGGTTGGAGAGAAGCATACTTATTCTACTAATATCAACCTTGTGCACCAAACTCGTAGTCCTCCAGCTCCCATATATAATATATGGGGATTTCTGATGGAATATCAAAAACGCATGTTAAACGAAGACGATCCTCGGAGAGTCCAAGGGTATGGGCGCGACACCCCTCAGCTTCCATATCAATTGGCAAACCAATTGCACGGGAAAATTTTTTAGGAGAATTATAGGGATCATACACAAGAATATAGGCACTAAGCAACATATGTAGCATCCTTTTATAGGGGACAAGAAAGATAGTAGAACGGAGTCGAAACGTTGATTTTATGGGCCATGGTGATGAAATCACAAAAGTTTTCCATCCCCCAGTCGAGAAGAGTTGAAGTATGTATTTGTCCCGGGAAATGGGTGGAGAAACACAAATTTGAACCACCACCCAATTATAGCGAGAATTGTCTACACATTGCGATTGCTGAGGGGTGGTGCAAAGGGAACAGCGCGCAGGAACGCAAAGGAAGCCAAAGGACATTGCTCTGGGCATCTTCCTCTCACTGAGTTCGAATTGGCGGGCACGAGGAAGAGCAGTCCAGTGCTTGGTTACTAGATTACAGACATTATCTTCTTTGTCCTAGACCAACTTTAGATGGAAACTAGTGCCCAATCTTCTTTACAAGCATTAAAAAAGATTTCGAAGTTCAACAGATACTTCATGCCATAAAAAGACTAAGCAATATAAACCTTCTCATCAGTTAAAAATTTCCCTCAACTAAAGATGCCACAATGGAAACCATTTCTACAATTCAAATATAAAAGAAAAAAAGAAAATCATCCCCCAAATGATAGAAAAACATCACATTATTCCCTTAACTAGATTCAAACTAGGAGCTTGAGAGTTTATGAAAGTACATGAGGTGAACAGAGACAACCTCAGAGTGAAACAAGGCTATTCACATAGGGCACCGATCTCATATAATACGAATCAGCTGGCTGAGGCGGGCTCAGTAGTGTTTTAGTTTCCTTGTGTTCAAAATCATAGGAGTAAAATGTCTTCCTACTCTCAACCACCACAATATCTCTGTTTACAGCAACAGCTTTGGTGTCACAGTCATCCAAAGGCATATAAGTGTCTTTAGGATCAATCACCACTTTAGTTTCCCACACCAAAGGCATTGTATTTGTGCAGATATTAACCAAGACACTAGGGACAAACACTTCATTGTTAAGCAATCTGTAACAAACCTTACAAAGCCTTTCATCAAATGTTCCCAGTAAGCAGTCATCGTCACCAGATTCTTTGTCCAGTAATTGTGAACTATCCTTGGTTAGATCAAAAGAAAGAATGCAACCAGTCCTCACAGGCCAGAAAACAACACCATTGACGTGAACACCAGACCGTAGAGAATATTTTGGAACTCCAAAACGAAGCTCCCCAGAAACATTCCAAGTATTATTTTTGGAGGTGTATATTTCAAATTCAGCTGCACCATCAAAACCAGCAGATGGGAAGGCACAAATGAGTTTGTACTCAGGTACAAAGTTGAGCAGTGACGGTTCAAATATCAGCACAACTGCTGGCTCGGATCCATGACAAGCAGTAGGTTTTGGAAGTTTTTTCCATTGTTTTGTAACTGGATTGCACAAATAGTAGTACCCGTTTTCATTTCGTCCTTGGCAACACAACAGTCCATTTGATGAGGCCCTAATGACAACAGGCTCTGGCAGAAAACTCAAAGATGGATCTGGTACACCACAAGATTTTGGATGAATTGGAACGAAGACAGTACAATTTTCAGAAGTTTGATAAAAAAGGCCTGATATGTTACGGCAACAAAGTGATTGATTATGGTGGAAGGATGGTGTTGAAATATGGAGCTTCCAGTCTCGACAAACAGCCTTGAATCTGAACAGTGATTTAGCAGGAAGGAATGGAAGGGCGTGTTCTCTAATGATATCCTTAAGATCCATGAGAAGCTCACTGTTTGATGCAGAAGGATGGTTTTGTAGCCTTTCTCCTCGATCCATTGTTGCAACCAATAGTATCTCTAGAGATTGATGGGCTGCAATAAACATGTCAAAGCAACCATATTACTAACAAATCCCATGAACATTTATCCTCTCATTGACTAATCACTATTCCTAACTACAAAGAAACATCATCACATAGTAACAGCATCATTAAAATTGACCAAGATTTTAAGTGTTTCGTACTTTCTTTAGAAAGAATGTTCCAATGATAACAGAGGCATTTGAGAGAAGTCTAGTATCATATATTTATTATGACAAATTGAAAATGCACTAAATAGGAAATGTTCAAAGGAAATCACCATGTGAAACCATTGTTAAAGCTATAATTCACATAACCATAAGCTTCTCTATTCACTACCACTCTTTCACTATCACTATTCATTTGTTTCATGTGAAAAAGGCCCATTCAGATTAAAGAACTTCTTGACCTGAATAGATCACTAGGAAGTAGGAACATGATAACCAAAATATATAATTATATACCCATTCAAATGTTCAGCAGCACCATTCTTGAGTCACAAGCATAGAAACACCAAAACTTACACAGAACGAGAATACATAGAAAAGAATGGTTCAGAGCAAAACACAGCTGCAAGAACAAGTCCCATATGGACCAACTAACAAGTTTAGAGCTGATTTTGGATTTGATTTCAATACACAAACCAGGCGTAGTAACTGACAAAATACAACCCAAGAAATGAAGAGAGATTTAATTAAAATCAAATTTCAAAACCTTATTCCCAAATTCAAATCATGAAAGAATCGGTAAATCGAAACTCCGGCAGTTCGCTATTACTTTATGCCACAAACAGAGCAAATTAAACTCCAGGGAAACATCATCGCAACAGTTCCGAAGCAAATATATCACCGCGATGAAAGCAAAAACGCATATAATACACTCAAACACAAACATGACTGAAAGAAATTCACGGATCGTGAGTAGTGATCAAGCATCGATAATCAAGATTAAAGTAGTTTTCGCAGTTCTTCGAAAGGACGTACCTATGAACGATAGCAATAGCTGGTGGAGAGCTAAACAGAGAAAATGGAGGAGCGAGGGGTATATGTGAGTGGAGTGGGGACAGCGGCGTAGCCTGCCCCGCAGCCTATTGAGAACCGCTGAACAAGAAGACTTGAGAGCTAACCTCCATTTTCGTTCCCTTCATCATATCTATATATCGATATACTAAAGCTATAGGTGTGCCGGTACAATTTCCCTCCAAATTAAAAATATCTTTCAAATATAAAATATGAAAAATTACATTTTTTATTTTTGTTTTTTTGTTTTGTTTTGTTTTGTTTTTTTTTTTTTTAAGTTATAGAATAATTGTAAAATTAACTTCTATATATTAGCGGTAATTACTTTCCATCCCTAAGTTATAACTAACGTTTTGATTTTCGTCCTCGTTTTTTCTAAGTGAGCATTATGAAACTGTTTAATCTTAAGGTATTCTTATCAAAACACAATCGGTTTTTCATGTCGACATCCTGAAGAAGTGATTGATATGTTATTTTACTACTCCATATAATTTATTTTTTTATATGACAAAAATAAATTGATCGGCAAAGGACTCATATGAAATTCTCATCTCTAGGAGACTATGATCAATTAGACAATTAGTGCCTTTGTTTTTGTTTGTTATATATATATATATATATATATATATATTTTAATGTATGGATAAGATTAAGGAATAATCTATTAAATGTGTGTATATTTTATAGTCTTATTGAATGTGTATATATGATAGTATTGTTTAGATAGTTTGTATATATTGTATTAAATGTGTATTGTAAAATTTTTAACTAATTAGTGCAATGAATATATATTGTTTACTTCCCCTCCAAATTTTAATTTTTCCCTAATATTTTCCCCATATTGTGGCAAAATCATTGGTACCTATTACTTGAGTGACCACACCATTACTTAAAAAAAAAAAGGTAATTCCTCAAATTAGAAAATTAGAAAATGTCTCTAGGGAGGCCTTTTCTGTGTCAGGTTGCGGGGAATGGTTTGATTCTCCTCCATCTTTTCTTGTGAACACTCTTATTCATATTTTAATGAATTAATTTTTCATCTTCAAAAAAAAAAAAATGTCTCTAAAGAGGGGAAGATTGGAGGGTGCATATCATTATTCTAATTAATTAAGATATTGTTCATATTGTTTACATAATATATATGACTTCATCAAATTCAAAATTAAAAGTTATAGGATGGGAGTATGGATTACATGTTGAATTGAAAACTAATAAGTTTTTTGCACTTTTGGTCTCATGATTGTTGTGGCACTAACAATTTTAATTCATAATTTTTAAAACTTGTATAATTGGTCCACGAGTATCAATTTCTTAGTACAAATGGTCCTTCTTGTGAAATATCCGTCAATTTTTCACCAGAAAAATTATTTATGTTTATAATAGGGGTATAATGTTTTTTTACTTTTCGTCACTTTTAAATTTTTCACACTTTTAGTTCAACAAGTATTGTGCCATTAGCAATGTTTATCCACAACTTTCAAAACTTAGGGTCCGTTTGGAAAGCAGGAAAATGACTTCTGGAAAATGATTTCTGGAAAATGAGTCATTTTTCGGTAAACATTTTCCTTTTCCAGTGTTTGGTTACATTTGGAAAACTGCTTTGGTGTGTTTGGTTCATTTTCTGACAAATGAGTATAATGATATAATTAAATATTTTAATTATTTTATTTAGAATAAAAAAATACATTTTTAAAATGTTTAAAACTATATTTTTTTTTTTTTAAAAAAAAAAAAGAAAAGAAAAATCTGGACCATTGGTTTCCAGCGGAACTGGGTTCCGCCAAAAATCATAACCTTGGTTTCTGGCAGAACCAGTTCCGCCGGAAACCATAGCTATTTCCGCCAGAAGCCAAAAAAAAAAAAAAAAAAAAGAAATAGCAAGGGCAGAAAATGACTTCCGCCAAATTGAGCACATTTTCCCCAGTCAATGGAAAATATTTTCCGTTGACTGGATTTTTCAAGTGTAGCCAAACACCAAAAAATCAGAAAATGATTTCCAGAAATCATTTTCCGGGTTTCCAAACACAGCCTTACATAATTGGTCTACGAGTATCAATTTCTTAGTGCAAATAGTCCTTTCGGTGAAGTCTCTGTCAAATTTTCACCAAAAAAATTATTTCTCCCTTATAACAGGGGTATAATGGTCTTTTTTTTGTCAATCTTTCACTGGAATACCTCATTTTGTGGTGTACATATCATTCAGGAGTATTGTCGTCTTGAGACAGGAACAAATCGACGATATAGCTCACGAGTTAGTGAACTTTAGCGTTCATTTCCTTTGTTCCATGAAGCCACCTAGCAAAGGCTCAACCTTCAAGCCGGTGAGCTTGCCAAAATGGTGCAATGGTGTCCGCAAGAAGAGGTGTTGGCTCACCCTTTCATGGTGCGTTTTGTGACTCATTGCGAGTGGAAGCACTCACCATCGGAACTCAGGTCGTCGCCTTCCCGCAATGGGCCGGGGCGATCAAAGTCACCAACGCAAAATACTTTGTGGATGGTTTTCGAACCTGAATTAGACTGTGCAAGGTGAAGTTGCAGGATAATTCGAGATAAGATATAGCGAAAACACAGTGGTAAAATGAAAAAAAAAAAAAAAAAAAAAAAAAAAAAAAAAAAAACATCATACCCCTACTAAAAAGGGGAAATAATTTTTCAAGTGAAAAATTGACGAAAATTTCACTGGAAGGACCATTTGCGCTAAGAAATTCGTACTCTTCGACCAATTTTGCATATTTTTAAAGTTTTGGATCAACACTATTAATGCCTCAATATTCGTACGTGGGACCAAAATTGTAAAACTAAAAATTAACAAAAAGGAAATGATCATCATTATATCCCTACTATAAACGACAATTATGTTTCTTATGGGACCAAAATTGTAAAACTAAAAATTAACAAAAAGGAAATGATCATCATTATATCCCTACTATAAACGACAATTATGTTTCTGGTAAAAAATTAACGGAAATTTTACTAGAAGGACAAATTGTTAAATAATTCCCACATTTTTAGTAATTCTAATTGGAAATTTTGTTTTGATGAACTCCATTATGTGTACATAGAACAACGGATGTCTACATACACACCTAAGTGCTATAGCATCTGCATGAATAATCTTAGTACTAATGTCATCGTAAGTGACGTGGTACTATATATGTCTTCGCAAATTTAACGAACAAGGATATATAATAAGTGACTTAGGTTGGGTCCTTAGGTTGCACCAGCATGCATACCAGGGAAGGGTGTCTACATACACACCTATGGAAGTCGAAGCAATGACTATCCGGGAAGCTCTTACTTAGGTCAAGAACGTACCATGGTTAGTCACGTCAAAGTTGATTCAGATGAGCTACAGATTATCCAAAGCTTGAAGCAGAATGTTGATGATTATTCTTGTGATCGATCTTGTATTTCTGGATGTTAAAGATTTGCTAAATTCAATCTCACAAGTAGCCATCTCTCATGCATGTTAATCGCACTGCGAATAGAGTTGCACATAGTTTAGCTTAGGAAACTTGTTCTATGTCAATGCATCATTAAGAGGTTTATCTAAAAGATTCGCAATATAACTCGGAAGACGTTTTAAATACCACACATGGGTTACTGGGCATGCGAGTTTGATATAGCCCATTTGATACATTTGTATCCGAAAATCAATAAATTCGACTTTGCATTGTTCACAAAATTTGGATTATTCTTTTTCATCTCCGATTACTCGGTAATTTCGACAAGCGCAAATTCCACTTTGTATAGGCCTAAAAATTCTTTCACAAAACAATCTATCTTTTTCCGGTTTATTGGTTTTATAAAGAAAAGTATATGGTTTTTTTACCTGTCTAACTACAGTTTCATTAAACATTATACACTCAAATATGTGAAACTGTTATTCAGTTTCATTTTATATACACTATAGTTTCTTTACAACACAACTACATCATCATTTCGATATAACTACAGTTTCATTGGATAATATACATTCAAATATGTGAAACTGTTATTTTAGTTTCATTTTATATACACTGTAGTTTCATTACAACACAACTACAGTTTCATTTCGATATAACTACAATTTCATTTGACATTATACACTCAAATATGTGAAACTGTTATTCAGTTTCATTTTATATACACTATAGTTTCATTACAGCACAACTACATTATCATTTCAATATAACTACAGTTTCACTGGATAATATAGACTCAAATATGTGAAACTGTTATTCAGTTTCATTTCAACACAACTAGAGTTTCATTTCAATTCAATTACAGTTTCATTCAATATGTGAGGTAGTTTCATTTCAGATACACTGTCGTTTCATTTTGTACTTAACAAATCAAAAATACACGTTCTGTTAAGCTGTAACGACAACCGTTTCTTTACTTAAAGAAACGACGCCGCTTTTGAACCATGGTCCATGATATAATTGCTGGTACTTGACCAATTGTTATGTTGTCGAATCGTGTCCACCTTGCTCCAATACGACGCCATAACTGTACTTTTAGGTGTCCACTACTTATAAATACTCACAAATTGGGTCAAATCTTTATGACTTTTTTTGGTATAGCTCATTTGTATCACCATTGTTTTTTTGGAGTATGACAAGTGATTGGCCTATGATTTTTTTTTTTTTAATTTAATACTAATTCGTTATAAAACAAAATTTGATATAAGATAACAAACATACTTTATTGTGACTAGAGATTGTTAGAATATTATATAATATTTTGATAATTTATTTATTCATTTTGCACTATATAAATTTTATAAATACTATAATTATTGAGTATATATTATTATTCCTGCATCGCACATTTGCACAAGTAACATACTAATTTTCATAGTACAATATTACCCTTCAAATTGATTATGTATGAACTTTTTTTCCCTTTATTTTTTAAATAAACGAAAAATTCCTTTAAACTTTAAAATCCAACCTCAAAACATCAATAATAAATTTAGGGGAGTAAAATCATGATATTTAATAAAATTAGTATGTTTATCAAAAGAAAAATGTTTGTAAACGCTTATCAAATGAATATGAAACAAAAATGAATTGAACGCTTTTGTATTAAAGATTGTGCGATTTACACAAAAGCATATAAGTGATTGAACGAATTATAAAGATTTTAAATGTTCTAAAAGTTTAAAATGTTAAACAATTAATACCTAGGTTAATTTGTTTGAATTGCTTCTCAATCTCACACATGCTCTGTTTGGCAGAGCTTATAGCCTATTTTAAGCTACTAATAAGCTATAAGCTCTGTTTGGTAATGTTCCCAAAATAAACTCCTAACTTAAAATAAGAGTTTATTTTGGAATGCTACTTTAGGTAGTGTTTCAAAATAAGTTCGTAACTTCTTAACTTTTTTTCCATTTTTATCCTTATTATTTTAAAGAAATGACATAATTTACCCTTCCTAGTTAAAACCATTTTCTCTTTTCCTTTATCCGCATCTTTCACATTTCACCGCAAATATTATTATTATTATTATTATTATTATTATTGTTATTATTATTATTATTGTTATTATTATTATTATTATTATTATTATTATTATTATTATTATTATTATTATTATTATTATTATTATGAGATTTGCAACAATATTGCTACTTCATTATGAGATGCTAGATCATGATTATGCTAATAGTTTTATTTTAAAATGTTAATTTTTTTTAAAGACAAAATGTTAAATTTTAATATATAAACAAACTGATTTAAATTTTATGAAGATGTCCTTTTTAGTCTTTTTACATTTATCAGCTTATCAAAATGCTAATTTTACCAAACACTTTTAATCATAACAGCTAATTTAACAGCTCTTCAATTTTCAGCTCCGAGCTTATAACTTTTCAACTTTCAGCTCCTAGCTTATAGCTTTTCAGCTAGGTTTGCCAAACAGAGCCAATGTATGACACCGATCTTCAATTAATAACAACACTTTGTAAGTTTTTTTATGCCATCCAAAAAAACTACAAAACCAATACAGTGCACCTTGTACTTAATTGGTACTTCTGTAATTCTCCTTGATGAAAGATCGCATTATTGTCTCTTTGGGTACAATTGATATAGAATGTCATTTGTGTAACTGATAAATAAAGTATATTGAATAAATACTATACTCTAAAAAAGCCGATACAACAATGTCCTTTTTTGTTTTTTGTTTTTTGTTTTTTTTTTTTTGTTTTTTTTTTTTTGATGAAATATTGACTTGGTTTTGCGCCATGAAAAACCAGCTATATGACTATATCGCATACAAAATCTACTATAGCTATTTTTTTTTCCAAAGTCAATAGATAAACTCCTTTCGTATCCTCCACTGGTTGGAAAGTAGCTGTAATATAATCCAATGCGTCAAATTCTATAATATAAGAGTAATATTAACTACTATAAAAAGAAGTGTTGGTAACATCTTTGTTTAATTTTAAATAAAATAATTTTTTTACCCCATTTTACTTGTTAGGTTTATTGACCAAATCAACTATTTTTCTTCACTTATTTTTTTTAAATATTTTCTCATGATTCTTAAATTTATTTATTTTTATTTTTAATACTTTTAATATTTTTTGAAGGTAAAACATAATACTTAAATTAAGCAATCTAAAAAAAGTGTTGAATACAATATTGGACAGAAGAATGTCTAACTAAGTGACCGAATTGGGAATTGCAGATTTGCAGCCCTAGCCAAAGTGTGGGCTAACACATTCGATGATCTACGAATAAAATGATATAACACAGGCTCAAAGTGCCTAACCAATTTAGGACAACCATCAATGATACAACCTGCTTAAGAGAAATCTAGAGATGGAGAATTAAGGAGCTGACAGACATTCAGGCACCAAACTGTATGGCCAAACACGGTTTCAACAGCCATAAATTTGTATACTGTAATTAAGTTCACTCACAAAACACAAACCAAGAAATAAAGAGAGATTAACTAAAATCACAAAACAAGAAATAAAGAGAGATTAATTAAAATCAATTCGCCCTTATTGCTTAGTGCAATGTCCGAGTGTGCATTCTTGTATCAATATCTTTCAGCAGCTCACACATGGAATTGTAGGAAGATCCGCCTTTGCTTAGTGCAATTTCGCCGCTACCTTTTACTTTCTTCACTTTCTCCCTAATGCCTTTCCCTTCATTATGCTCCAATAGAATTCTCACCATTCTCTCTATCTCCTCTCTCCCCACCACCTTCACCGTCGGCGCCACCGCTGGCCTCACGGCCACCCCGACTTCCTTCGCCAGCATGGCCGCGTTCATCTTCTGCTCCGCGTAAAGCGGCCATGCAATGATTGGCACCTTGTTCGTCAAGCTTTCCAGAGTCGAGTTCCATCCGCAATGAGACAGAAACCCGCCCACTGATGGGTGGGTCAATATTTCCACCTGGTTAGCCCACATTTGGACCACAAATCCCACATCCCGAGTCCGGGAGAGGAACCCGTCTGGCAGGTAATCCGGGCCACAGGCATCATCCCCAGTTTCTAATTTGGGGGCGAGGTAGCTGTCGGGACCGCCGTCACAGGGCGGCCGGACCACCCAAATGAATCTTTGCTGGCTATTCTCTAACCCCCAAGCCAACTCCGCCGTTTGCTCCGCGGTCAAGACTCCTCCGCTCCCAAACGACACGTACAAAACCGACTCCACCGGTTGCCTATCCAACCACTTCAAAATCTCGTCTCTGCCCTCGCCCTCATTCTTGGCCTCCACCTTTCTCTTCAACGGACCTATAGGGTATACAGGTACTTTCACCACAGCCCGTAACTCCTCATTTTCTCTTAGAGCTTTAACGGTGTTAGGCTCCAATTCCTCCCAGGTGTTCATCAATAGCCCGTCAAACTGGGTGTACTCTATCCCTAGATTAACATATTCGCGGTATTGCTGGTCGCTCCGGTCCAGCAAGGTATCAAAAAAATCTTCCGGTTGGACCGGCATGCACCCGGGGATCCTCAACGGTTCAATCCGGTCCGCGAACTCCCCCTCGATAGTCCTATCAAACACCTGAAGATACATGCTCAGAGTTGCGGTCCACGCCGTGGACGGATAATAAGCGTACCTCGGAATCCCCAATTCCTCGGCAATGGACAATGCTTGGGTACAAAAATGGTCGACGATGAGGGCGTCAGGGCGGCGGTCCATGGCGGCGATGCTGGACCGGACGTTCGGAAGTGCCTCCCGGACTGTTATCCGTATCTGAGGGATGATTTTAGTTTTCTCGTCGATTAGAGCGGAGACGTCGATGGCGGGGACGGGGACTATGTCTATGGGGCTACTACTTTTCATATGGGATTTAAGAAATTGAGTTTCCGCTGAGGTGGTGATGGCGAGAACGGTGACTTTCACGTTATGGCGGGCGGCGAGGTGGTCTCCGAGCACTAGCACGGGGATAAGGTGACCCATGCCGGGACTCGAGAGGAGAGCAACATGAAGTTGAGAGCTTCCCATGAAAATGTATTAAAAACAAAAAACACAAAGAAGGACAATTAGAGGTATGAAAATGACTCAACATTTCGCCCCATTTTTATAGATATATACATGGTATTTATGTGTCTTATATAGTTAATTAATTAATATTAAAATTACGATTATATTTAAATAATTTTTTTTTAAAATAATAAATGAATAAAGACTATAAAAGTCGTAGAATTCATTGTTCCCAACGTCGTAGAATTCATATTATACTGAAATGATTACTTATTACCGTAACATATTTATTTATATTGGAGAATTTTATTTATGTTGAAACGAAAAAATTAAATGTTAATCAACGAATTTTGAGTTACATTATAATGTGCAAATTAAATTCATAAAAGCAATTAGTGTAAAAGTATTTATATCGACAATATAATGACGTTTAAAGAAAATTATTTATTATATAATTATTTTTATTTATCTATTCATATTATATACTGAAACGATTACTTATTGCTGTAATATATTTATTTATATATTGGAGGATTTTATTTATGTTGAAACGAGAAAACTGAATGTTAATCAAAGAATTTTGTAACTCATCAGGATAGCTCAATTGACAAATGAACTTTATTTGTGGAAAATTCTGAGATAACCTGGTTCAATTCCCTTTAGGTCAACTTTTGTGTCTTTCGGAGCGAACTGGGTGGACCTGGACCGTCAAATGGACAGAGAAAGACCCGGACCACATTGTGGTTTATACCAAAAAAAAAAATCAAAGAATTTTGTGTTACCTATAATGTGCAAATTAAATTCATAAAAACGATTAGTGTAAAATTATAAAGAAAATTATTTATTATTTTTACGTTATATATGGTAATTATACCGACAATATAATGACATTTAAAGAAAATTATGTATTATATAATTATTTTTATTTAGCTATCAAATGTTAAGGGGGTGTATTCAATCATGACTTTTGTAGAGTTTTAAAGACTTTTAAAATGATAGATTTTAATAAACTTTGATTGACTTTCATAGAGTCGTTCAAAACTTTTTAAAACTTTATAAGACTCTATAAAAGTCTATATAAAAAACATTCATAGACTTTTATCAACTTTTTATTTTAAAAAGTCTACAAAAGTCATTGAAATTCTTAATTGAATACATCTTTACAAACTTTCAATGATTTTGATTCTTATCATTTATAATTTTCTTACAAAATATTTATAATATATCATAAAATTCTTCTTATTATATAGTTCTTCACCCACATCAACATTCTCAACATTATTATTTTTATCCATAGTATGTTGAGACTTCTAATTACTTATATATATATTATTAATAAACATCAACAAAAAAAAAAAACTATTTCATTAGAAATTCATAACAATATTGAACAATAAAATTTAAAATAAAAGAATTGATCAAATTAAATATTTAAAAATATAATTACAAGTTGCATAAAATAAAAATAAAAATCTAATATTAATATATATATATATATATATATATATATATATATATATATATATATATATATATATATATATATATATATATATAATTATACTTGATATATTGCTAGACATCATGCAAAGAACTATTATTTCCAATAGCAATTTGAGACTGCGAACAACAACAAGGTGCTACTGTTAGCAATCACAAATTGTTGTTGCGAACAGTAGTTAGCTATTCGTAGTAACTTGTTGTTAAAAAAAAAGGAAAAATATATATAACGAATATAAACATAAAAAAAATCAAAATATATAAGTATTTATATGAATATTATGAAACATATACTAAAATTTGACGGTAGAAAAATTTGCTTTGTTCATGTATTTAGGGAGAATTAGAGAAAGTTAGGGATAAAAAATTCATAGAAAAAATAAAAATCAATATAAACAAGTAATAATGAAGTAAAAATAATATTATTTCGAATTTTTAGATAAAGATTGTAAAGTTTAGGAGAGAGAGAAAAATTGGTAGATTTAGGTATGAGGAAAATATAGGATAATGAAGAAAAAAATAATTTTATTGAATTTATATAGGTTTATAAAGTTTAAATAGGGAGAAAAATAGAGTTTAAATTGAGAGATAAAATATTCAAAGTTTTTAGAAAGAAAATTTTGAAATTTTGGAGTTGATGGTTGATTTCAAATATTTATATTTGAGAAAGAAAAGTCTTCAAAAGTCTTAAAATTAAAAAGTCTACAGAAGTTCATAACTTTTTAAATACCACATAACTTTTAAAGACTCTTTAAAAATCTTGATTGAATACCGCCTGACTTTTAAAGACTCTCTAAAAGTTTGAATTGAATACCTCCAAACTTTAAAAGTTCATAAAAGTCTTTAAAACTCAATGAAAGTCATGATTGAATACACCCCCTAAGATTCTTTATATCTTTATATATGTCGTAATAGAGTTATAATGAGGCAAGGACAATCTTGTTTTACAAAAATATAATGTAGTGTATAACATTTAAACTATTGAGGTCAGGGGCGGACCCAGCGTAGGGGCAGCTGCCCCCACTCCCATTCCATTCCATCCCTTTATATATATGTACTAGTTTTTTACGCGCTTTGCGCGAATGAGATAATGCCCAATGATTATTTTTAAATAAGTATTTCAAAATATATCAACGCAATATTATATCGGAGATGTTCATGCATATGTAAATAAATATTGAATTTGTTTATTTAAATCGGTAATTCAAAATATATAAATGCAATATAATATTTATTAAATTTTCTAATCGATATTTGGTAGTGACGTGGTAGTTTTCCCCTACATGTTTCATTAATTGTGAGATGTGTGTCGTAGGTTATCATGTGAAAGTATTGAACAAAATATTACGGAGTAATATTTATTATATTTGTATAAAATACTTGGTAAATAAATATATATAATGTATTTTGTATTACAAGATAATGTAAAAAGAAGACAATAGACAATGCAATGAATATAATAAATTAATAAATTTGAAGGTAATGAATCTTTGAATTGTAGAAAATAAAGATAATATAACTAATGAAATTATATCTATTTTTAATTTTTTTATAATGAATAATTTTTTTAAAAAAAATAAAGGCATTATAGACATCTAATTCTAAATTAATTAAATGCATATGTATTATTTTTTGTTGTAGCTACTACTTTATTTAGTTTAATAAGAGTAGTAAAGTGGTGTACATACTTTTCATCAACAATAATGCAATCATTGATATATATATTTTTTAATTTACATTCGTTGTTGAGACAAATTGTTTTGAGAGCGTGTCAATGACAATTGTTACAATTCCTTTCAATATATGATGATAATAAATAATTCAAAATATATAGTTACAATAGATATTGTTATAATAGTATAGTAAAAATTAACTTACAAATTTCTTTAGATTTTTTCATGCATTTATAAAATACTGATGTCTAAACTTGTTCAATTAGAGCCAGCGGGATGTCAGCATTGTCATTCTTTAGAAAATGGTCCTACCGTTTTAGAGTCCAAGTATAATTGTATTTATGATCAACAATTTTGTAGTTAATTAGGTCGCGCATGCCTAACAATGATGTAAGAACAATTTTTTCCAATAAAAAAATAATAGTATAATATTTGTAAAGTAATGTACAATAATTGTAACATTATAAAAATACATACAAAAAATATTAATACCATAACGACCTAAATCATACCAATAATGCAAAAGTATAATTGAAATATTAAGTTTTTTTTTTCTGATCTAAATAATCAAAAGAATAATAATTAAACCAAAAAAAACAAACAAAAAAACTTAACCTAAATATGTTTTTTTTTTTAAATGCATAAAAATCAAATGATTTTTAAAGTTCTTGATTTATAATCTTTGATGCTTAACTTTGAATGTTATGTATTTAGTCACTAATTATTTGAACAAAGTTTATGTTAAATTTTATATTATATATATTTTAAATATATTTTAACATATTCGTAGTATATGTTTAACAATTATGCCAACTCTAATTGGGATATGGTTCGAAACTAAGGCTTTTCTTATAGAAATTAATGTGTAAGTTAAAAGAATAAATAGTTAAAGGAATATTCTGTTACTAAAGTTTATGCTAACGAAATTTAGGTTATTTAAGGGAAGAAAATAATATAATAGAGGGTAAATAAGGAAAATCAATAAAAAAAATACTAAAATCAAAATAATATGAATAATTCATTTTAAGAAACAATAGTATAATATGAACCATTCATTTTAAGAAATAATAGTACCGACATTTTTTTTGTTCCAGTTAAGGGCCTAACATTATTGGCTCTTATTAGAATTGTAGATGTAGATGTAGATAGATGTATATGTATACATATATAGCATGAAATCTATATATATATATATATATATATATATATATATATATATATATATATATATATATATATATATAAGTAAAATCCTCCTAACAAATTTTCTCCCCAAAACTTTTGTAGTAAAACTTATTTGGTAAGTAAATGTCAAATGGAAATTAAATAATAATAATAATAATAATAATAATAATAATGTTATTACCTTAAATAAATAAATTATTATACTTTCCCTTAAATAAATAAATTATTATACTTTCCTTTTGAATTAGTATTTTCTACCTATAAATACAAGAGCTTCTTCAATCAAAGAATCTCAGACTCATCTTTCTGCTTATTAGATGTGTGCCAAATTTGGAATATGCCAAATTGGAAGTGTGCCGAGTCCAGAGTATGCTGAACTTGAAGTAGTTCTTTGTTGGAAGTATGCCGAATCCGGAATATGCCGAATTGGAAGTGTGCCGAGTTCAAAGTATGTTGAACTGGAAGTGTGCCAAGTTCGGGAGTATGCCGAACTGGAAGTATGCTGAGTTCGGGAGTATGCCGAACTGGAAGTAGTTCCTTGGTGAAGGGCCTCCGGAGTTATGTAGGTTGTTCTTCAATGAAGGGCTAATATGCAGCTTGATCTTCAAAGAAGGGCTTCCGGTGTTCAAATGGCGTATTCCTCAGCGCAATATACGTAGTATATATATAACTGCGGGCGTGTTCCAGACGATATCCT